TTCAACCAATACCGATTAACTACAGTTATTAGAATATAACATAAAAAAAGTATTTTATTCATACATTCGTATTTATTTGTTCATTTATTGTAATTCCTCAAAACTATCCTATAAAATATGTGTACTTGCAATGCATTTAAGTATAATAATCTATATAAAATTAATTGGTTTATTTAAAATAAAAATATTTAAACCTAAAAATTACATCCACATTTAAATAAACATGTAGAATAACAATTATATTAAATACTTGTGGTAACTTACGTACCTATTGAAGACCACAAATTGTAAATTGTCTCTTATTCAATATTTAATTTTATTTGTGAAGAAGAAATATGCATAAAACAGAGGCATATTATATTGTATACAATAAGTGTTAATATTATTGTCATAATGGTTATTATGAGTCTAATCCATTATTTGAAAATTGAAAAGCACGGAGAGAAACTTTATTAAGTTCTTTTTCTTCGCTATTTATTTATAAAATATTTTATGTATTTGTCTTTCAATGTTATTTCTTACAAAGTTGATAATTATATTTTAGCCTGCAGATAAAAACTCATAAATAAATAATAACTATAATATTACGGACTAGAAGTATAAAAAAATATCACTTCGAAGGGAATTTAAAATCGCAAATAATATAATATATTTATTGTTTATCGTCTCGGACACATAAATTGATTCATAAACTACTGCGAGAAACGTCCCGCGTGAGCTACTTACTGTTCTAGATAGACTACAATATCGCACCACTACCAGCCATATGTATTTGTTAAACAATAATGAAAGATAAATCCAGAACTACGCCTCGAGCAATATTTTGTAGACAAAAAAATTGAAACAGTTCAGTTTTTGTTTGCATGACTAAAATATTTGAAATACATAATATGTTTGCATACAACTCTTATATAACATATTATTTTTTTTATTCTTATAAACACACAATATTACAAAGTGTTACTTACACTACAATTGCATAGAATTAGTATATCGTATAATATGGTTTATTATACATATTATGGTACGATCGCGATGATTCCCTGCTAGTTAAATTCGACTTTCACCGGTCATCAAATAAAGTGATCATTTAAAGTTGAATTTGTTGTCGTGCTATTATTCAAAATCAATCTAAGATACGAGACATTTTTGTTATTATATTACGATAATCTTACAACAGAAAATAAATGCCTTGTTTTTTAAGCAGCAAACTTTAAATTGATAAATATATTCAAAAAAAATGCCTCGATCGTCATTTCATAATAATAATAAGAATAGTTTAATAATAATGTTTTTTTTTTTCAAAACATTATGAACGGTATGTCCGCATTTATGTATTCAGAGCATAATGTATTCAAACACACAATTTTACAAAAATTAAAATTCTAAATGTTCTGTTAATTACTTATTGTGAACAACATTCAGTCCCTACATTAATAATTCGTTAAAAACTCTTCATAGTCAAGTATATTTAATACTTACAAATTGTAGCAAATAAATAAATGTATTAAAATATTTTGTGAATTAAAGTTTAGTCAGTGAAAGTAAAAAATATACATCTCTTATTTTGTTTTTATGCGAAAACACAAATTCACTTTATTACTTTAATTTCTTAGGTGAACATGAAGAAAAACTTGCAGGGTATTTATGTTTTTTTTTCATATTATCAACGATAATACTGGGAATTTTCATTTTATTATATTATATGAATATTTGTTCTGAAATCGTTTCAGGAACAGCATAGTAAAATACATTTCTCTTCTCAATAAGTAATAACATTAAACGCATTTTTTATTCAATTCAATTTTATAACATAACTACTGTATCCAAAGACGTTTTGAATATTGTTTGTGTTTCATCTTTTTTTTGTTACTCTATACATTAACAAGAGTGAAAAAAAATATTCAAAAAAATGATTTATGTATTATTAGTTTAACGATGATGTTTTTTTTTTTATTAGTTTGATATAATGATATGTCTGTTATCACTTTCTGATAAAAGGGAACTACTACAAAAGTTTAATTTAGACATAATCTGATGTGCGTAAATGAAATCATACATTTCTTTGTTCTCTTTGTTTCAATTCTGAAGTGTATTTTGTATTAAATATTTATAATAATTATTACTTGAACTAAGTATTGTTTGGAATATTGTATAGACAATAGTTTTCCAAAAATGTAACAATAATTACTCAAAAACCACGTCTTTAAATAATAATTGTCAAATAATGAATTGTATACAAGATGGTTGTATTTTAAAATGTCAACAATTATTATCTTTAAAATTATTGCCTAGTTAAAAAATATATTTTTTACACAGAATTGTTTGAAATAAAAATATATTTTTATTATTTATATCGTTACCGTATTAATTTTTAAATTTTATTTTATTTTTGAATAATAGCAATCATGTTAGTATTTATAGAAATACAAAATATGAAATAGATCCAAAATGTATTATATTTAAAACAAATAGTTAAATAGCTTTAATTATTTTAAGTTAGATGAGAAGAATGGAGTGTCACATGGATAATCCACAAAATAACCCCCCCCCCCTTGCTTGTCTGAGCTTTAAATACATACATATAGGTTGTAATTTGTAATAAGTATTTCACTGCTATTCGAAATTTAATTTTAGTGAATACTATTTTAGTTTGAATATAGGTATTTAAAAAAATATTCTACTTAGAAATATGAAACTATAAATGTATAATATAATTTCATTTAAAATAATAAAAACTTTTAAAAAAAACAATAACGATAAAAATATAGTTATTTTTTCAAAGTTATTAAATTGTATTAAATAGTATTTTGTAATGACTTCAGATACGGTTAAAAAAAATCACTTAAAACGTCAATTGTTTTGAGGAAATGAGTATTTACTTTGAGAAAAAAGAAAAATTGTGAAGCCAAAAAGGTCGGAAAATAATAAAACCTAATATTCAAAAAATAAGACCATAATATAATATTACGTATAGTTCTCTTGATCAAATTATTAAATTCTCATTAAATCAGTTAGATGTTCAAAAATCATATGGACTTTATTGCGATTTGGATGAACTAGATCCGGTTCAAAAGAACCTCGTCAAATCTCGTAGATCCTTTAATAGGTACTTAGTGCGGCGGTCTACTTCATATTCATTGAATATCGTACGTATGACCGGTATGGGACGTATTATTACTGTCGCCAAACGGCGGCGACCGCAGTGATTTCACCGCACTACATTTACGTCGTACGCGTGCACGTTTCGTTCGTTAGCGAAATCCACTAGACCATAATAATATGACAACGTTATGGTATACACGGCGTCCATGACGTCGTCTGTAACGAGGAGACACGACCGCGATATCATAGGTATAACTATAACGAATAGTCGCGGCGGCACCATAAATAATGTGGCCATGTGGGTACACGGATACAAAAGTCGCTGCGTTGATATTTTCGAGACGGCGTATAATGTTATTGGGTATTGTTATCATTACGCAGACGTAGTGTCCTGCAGGATATGATGACGCACTGCTGGGGAGGCGCGTAGGTCGCACTGCATGGTCACACCTCGTATTCCCGGTCGGCGTGCCGCGAGGGATTACGGTATTGTACGAACAAAATTTCGGAATAGTGAATTTTTTTTTTCCTCCGCCGGGCGTCCGGGTAAACTTGTCAATTAGATGCACAAAACGTTAACGCCACCGCCGCCATGGTCGTCTTCGTCGTCGTCGTCGCCGTTGTGGTTGTCGACAGCAGCATCCATTCATCATTGTGTCGGCAAACGAGCCCTCGGCATCAAGCTCTTTTCACCCCATCCCAACCCACCACCCAAAAATAAACACACACACACACACACACACACACGAACACACTGCTGTATAGGTGACCGCGTGAAAAATGGTCGACACGGACCCCTTTCGCCAGCCACGTAACGAGTACGCGAGCTCTGCGACCCGTCTCCTGTCCGCTACTCTCGCCGTTTCAGCAAAGTTGCTCGAGCAAAGGCATTTCCCCTTACGCGACAATCGTCGTTTTTAGACGCATAATTACGGTGGTATTATAGCACTGGGGTCCGTTATCTCTTGCGGTCGTACCCTCTTTCTGCCCACTCGCCTCGTCTCAAAAACGAGACGCCCTACGTTTCTCACCTCTGTTCTTATACGAACCATGATCCTATACCTGACACGACACGGGGCCTGGAAAATTATCGGTTCCGGTCGTACAATATATATTGTTGGCCAGCGTCGGTTTTATAGTATTATGATTAAATACATAGTGTAAATCCGTGTTCTTCCACCACCCCGCAGATACCCCTGTCAACACCTTAGAACTTTGCACTGTGTGTGTGTGTGTGTGTGTGGGTGGATGCCACACACCTAGAGGCGTACACCGACGAGGTCAGATGTTATATTATTACAAAGATTCGCGATAGCAAAGTAGCCTCTTCGAAATGTGGCGTTAAGTTTGCTATCTAGTAGAGGGTCCCCGATATTTCTCAAAACTTGTACCGTATCGATTATTGTGGCCACGGCGAAGTCCCAGCAACTAAACGAAACGCTTTAACACGACATTTTATCTTCTCAATAATCATCTGTTGATGTGCATCACGTACGGTAGAACCGTAGAACTCAAGATACGAAATCGAGAACTTTGGGTAAAAAAAAATCCACTCACATTTACTTTGAAATGTTTCCCCCCCCCCCCAAACCTACCAACATATTATATGCACAGTCATATTTTCAACTTTTCGTATCGGAAAATCGACTATTGTTTCCCTTTTTCGATCCAGATCTCTGCAAATAGTTTAACCACCATTTAGGTGAATACCGTTTATTAATTATTGTTTGTACTATATTATTCAAAATAATTAAAAACAATATCGTTTTACAAATTCAAGCACCATAGATATCTATTAAGTGGAATAAAACAATTGGCGTACAGAAAAACAATACAATGAAATTTGTATAACTTCGATATAACTATATTAATATTCTGCAACAATAACACAACAATTGATTTGTGTACTAATTGTATTTAATTTACTAGGTAATTAAAATTGTTGCACGAAGATTATTATTAATTAAAGACATCACATAATTTTAACTATGTTGATACCGATACGTCTTATTTAATTTTTTCCCTCCTTTGCTTCTAAATTGATGTTCTCGACCTCCTCTCATGCAACTCGTTTCTGGTCCCAGCATTTTCGACAACAGACGACTCATTTTTTTGCGACCCTTTCCGTCTCCGTTGTATGATTCCTAAATAACATAACAGTTCAAATTCTTAAGCCATAAAGATAATTCAATCATACATATTTATGAAGTAATACTATTATGTTAACGAGAAAAATATTGGTGTTTTCTACATATTGAACATTTTCATAAAAACCAGTAAGCCTATTGGTTTTACGTTTTGTCTACCTATATAAACTCTTGATTACTATACAATAAAATTGTTACTTTTTTATACCACATCACATAAAAATTTCACAAAATTTTGCTCAGCCTTCCTAACATCAAATTGACGTATCAATTTTAAGCTTTAAACCTATCAATTTAAACTAGGATGTAAGTAATAGCTTATATTTCTTAGAAAACTTTAGCCCATGCATTTAATATAATCCTCAAAATGTTCCATACCAGTTTGTTAAATAAAAAATAAGTCGTAAAAACTAAAATCGATATTATTATGTATGATAAATCTATAAGATAAACAGAAATATGACGTTATGTTTCTACAATATTTTTCTTCTATGAATATTATTTAGATAACTTCCAACAACAAGTCAATATTATAAGTAACATAAAAGTATTTAATGTATTATAAAATAGTTCCCGCGTCGATACCTCGAACAAAATCGATCTGTTTGTTTTAAAAAGAATACTACTGTAGCTCTCATATTTTTGACCATCAATAATAAATGACAGGTAAATAGCAATCAAAACTCTGAAATAATAGACCAAAGTTACTACCGTTTGTCGTGAATATCTATAAAGTTACGTTTAAATTTGAATGTATCACTCAACATTGCAGACCTTGAAACAGTGTGCCGTATGTTATGCCACGTTTTCTTAGTTACCTACTGCTTTTCTCGGGTTTTATAGTAAGTTTTTGGTGTGTGTGTGTTGTGTATATTCGTTAACAGTCTTATAATTATTTCAGCCGGTATTAGTACAAAGAGTTTATTTCTTAAATTTGTAACCGCCTATAATAACCATTATAATAAGATAACTGCTATAATATAAGAAGTACTTACCATCAAAAACAATTTTTTTACAGCCCTACCACCAATAATAAACATGTTTTTAAATTAAAGAATTCATATTTTTCTATGGCGTTAATTAGAAGAAAACTTACGCAATTTCCGGAATAATATAGCTCGCTTAGACTTTACTTTTAAATACCACCCTTGGGTAATACACTTAAGAGCGAAATGAATAATCTTAGTTGTGAGTAAAATTAACGATATCAGTGATATTATTGGATTTGAAAAAATCTTCAAATATAAATTATTATTTTAAGTAAGGTTAAAAGATCACATACAATGATTTCGAGGAAAGAAATATTCTTGGTGGTACGAGTGTCTAAACTAAACGTCTTATTAGTTTTATCTATACTAAGATGTACGCCAAGTTTTAAATTTAAATATCTAGAGAGTGGCGTCTACTAGGAATGTTATTTTCAGCACCTGTATAAAGATCTAGTTAAATTGAACAGTCTCCAGACATGTTGTGTTTATAATATCGCGTCAATTGACTGTATAATGTAGACATGTGATAATGCTATACGTTTCAGTTTGGAAACTATTTAAATCGACTGCACATGATAGGCATATATTATATATATGTAACACGGATTTAAAGTGAATACAATAAACTTTCTTATATGGTGTTCTTGACAGCACTCTAATCGCCTATTATCCCATATATGAGTATAGTAAGAAAGTTAAATTTTCGTCTTAAAGCCTCACGTGCACGACCACATCGGAGATGATGTGTGGGCTAGACGAGAGGCGGAGTGAAAGATTTAATTAATTTTAGAAGGCTACCTTAAATGCTTATGAAACCCATTTATGCAACACATACCATCTTTGACTTAGACAAATTGCACCGTAATCTTCGTCGCATTATCCGAAGAGCTTTGCCAACAAAAGTTCTATACGGAGGCGGTGGTGATGGGATGTAACAGTATTGATAATTACTTACTTATCTGAAACTAAGCCGTGTTTATGTGACGACAATATCTGTTTCCAAAATGAACGATACAAGTTGTCCAACAACAACCCTTCCTCGGTTTCCCCGGAGGATATAATACGAGATTCGCAAACAGTTTCAAAATTTACAGGAAACTATATTCAGTTATTATACTCGTCAGATGTATATACATAGCTAATACATTTAAATATCGACATTTTCGATCATTATTGTCCCACCGCCCACACACAATTACTCGCCCTACAAATTATACGATGATCATACCTACAAGTATAATAGAATTGTTTCACACTAATTTTTTCGTTTAATGTAACGTAATTTGATTGCTCCGAATAGTTATTTTTATTTTATAATTTTTTCTCAACAATTATAATACAATTATTGAGCATAACTTTGCTGTGTCTATGCATGGCTGTTATTTATTCACGACGTGGACTCTAACCAAAAAACAAATTAAACAACACGCAGCACATTCGACGGTATTTGTTTCACGGGATTAAACTCATACGCCGGTCATTTTTAAGTGAATAATCGCACTGCTAGTTTTAATAATACATAATATTAAACTCGTTGCCATTTGTTTGTTTTTCGAACGAAATCACATAAATCATTAAATTATAATTTTTTATTTATAATTAATAATAACAAGTACTTTGTACATTTAAAATAACAATAGCGAGCAAAAACGAAATCGCAGTAGAATTAAAAATTGTAAACGCTAACATTTTTAATAAATCGTTCATATTGTCTGTGTTTACCTATATATAATAGCAGTTTGTTTAACACGCATAATAGTATTATTTTATTACCTAACCTACGCTGGCTAAAGTCGCTAAGTTAAATTATTATATTAAATAAGATCACTATTTCCCGCGTCCCCGTGTTTCGATTTCATCTATCAAACTGCAAAATGTATTTTCTATGTATATAGACATTTAATATTGATAAATAAATACTTAGAAAATTTAAAAAATCCGTGGTGTAAAAAAAGTTCAATAGCTAATATTGATTTTTAACAAATACGATTTTTAAAAAAACAAATTACTGAAACTATTAACGTAAACACTGTTATTAAAATAAACAACAGCAACAAGGAAAAAACGATGTAGTCTTTGTTTAGATCGAAAACCTAATTAAAATTAAAGTGTATAATATACTATAATACAATTACATTACAATTTAAAGTAATAAAACTCTTTTAATAGAATAAGGACACAATATCAGTGTCTTTGCGACGTTGCCACGTTTGGTTTCTTCTTATATTCGCCAATTTCGATTTCATAAAGTTGCAAGAAAGAATAAAATATACAACAAAATAAATATTTAGTCACTTAAAATGCAAATCTAAAAAGATGTAAAAAAAAATCTTAATTTTGAATTTGATTACAATTATTGATTTTCAGAAAATTAAACAGTTTCAATTTAGATTTTTTAAATGCTTTTCATTGTCGGTTTGTATTTTTATGCATTCATGTTTAATGTTTATAAAAACTATTTTATAATTTAAAATGTTTCGATTTTGATTTCGATGTTTTCTATTTTTAATGAGTGAGACTCGAAAATAAGCAAGTAGAACTCTGCTAAAATGCGGTTTTGATAAAAAAAAAAAAAAAGTAGAAGAAGAAGATAAAACATAACGTGTGCAAGATAACACTACTCTCATTAAACAACGGTGTAACTTTATAAAAAAGAAAATGATCAGGTCTTTCAAACGAATCTAAACCTAATTACGATAAAAGTGTGTAATGGACATGTATGATGTACATTATATTAATATGTTCCAAATGGATTAAATTGGTTTCGAGAAAACTATTGCCTCGCCCGTATCACTTTCGAGGAAAACGTTATAGAAATGCCAATTCTATAGACTCAATTATTTAGCTTTAGATATTAATAAATAAAAATGAATTTATATTTTTCGTACAACATTAAAATATTACTTTATGTTTTACCAAATATGAGGAAAACTTTAATACTTATGTATGGTTTGTTCCAATTAAAACAACTACTTAATGAAATAAAAATAAATTCTAAGCTATAAGTCTAAAAACAATTTCGACTTTGTTTACCTAAACATAGTTATAACTTTATAAGCTTTCTTTGTAACTTGAACCTACCTTCGTGAAAAATACACACTCAATTGTAATGTTATCGTTAAATTGCCTACCCAAGTCGCCGTGTGATCACAGTTGGAATGAAAAAGGGAAAGCCACGTTGAAAGCATGTACCGAGTATTATACTTAATAGACTGTTGTAAAATTTGGCTTACGCGTTTTATTAAATTAGATTCAAACGAATACATGTGCACAAGTGAACACTTTATTTTTATTTTTTATAATAGTAAATGATATCAGTATCAATAAAATTTGATGTGATTTGTATAAATAAACTTTTCTCAAAGTGTTAAGCTCTATCTACTGATTTAAAACTATACTGATGATTTTTGAAAATGACTGATTTTAAACTATTACAAACTACAACTATACAAAAAGAAAACTTTAGTATATTTGATGGGGCATATTTTTTGCACAGGTCCATATGTCCATTGCAAAACTCGAGCAACACTTTGAAAGTTTTCATACACAAAAAAATAGCAAAGTAAAAGTATTTGTAAAACAATAATAATACAAAAATATTATATTATTTTATATTGTTATTCTCTTGGTAATTTGCATTTGGCCAAGAAAAATGAATGCATTACAATATACAATATAATAGAAAACAAATTCATTTTATCAGTCGCTTGGAAAATTATGGAAATGATGAAAATTTGACATTCTCGAAGCACAATCTACGTTAAATTTCCTATCTCTCAACGTTACGCTATGTAAATCAATTGGAAAGTATTACGATATTTTATAGGGATTATAGAAATAAAATTGTGAAGATAAAAAAATAACATTTCGTTTATAACTTAAATATGCGATTTTAAAAGCCATACTATTTAATTATATTACAAATCTCACACAAATACATAAACTATGATGTTATGCATGGACCAAAATCTATGATAGTACCTACAATGTATGCAACTTTCAATTCGCGATTTCTCATGTTCACTGTTCTTGGACTTTGAAAGACGGACGATGATATTCTTAAAGGTTTTTGGTCGAGAACCGACAACGTTAATTTGACCAAGTCTAATGTATAAAGCAGACGACAATTTCCGTCAAAAACCTACTGTTCATAAAATATACAGCCACCTATCCGTACCTAATTAAATACAAATAATAATATATTATTATAGATATATATTTTTGAAGAGACCTTGAAATAGGTACTGTAGACAATTTTTATTTGTGTGTTTTTTCGCGGAGAAAATGTCTGTATATACTACATAATATATGTTTATTTAATTTTTGTCAATTTACATAAAAATAATTACACACATAACTTTTTTGTACCAAACCGAAAGCTATGGTAGTAGTAAACATGCTTTCAATTCACTCGCATTCGGCCCGCGTTCAGTCTTTACGGACATAAATCACTGTCTTAACAGAAACCAAACATCTTTAGTAAATTTATATCGGTACACCGCGAGTTCAATATTTTACGCTAAAACAAAAACTAAAAGTAATACTTACGTACGCACGCGCAACGCCATAAACCAATATCGCGTCGTCCTCGTCTTCCCGGGCCGTTTTCCGCTTTTCCGAGGGACCAAAAACGGAACAACCCCTGTCTCAAATGGCCTAAAGTTTGCAGGAACACAAACTGTCGAGTGGAAAATGCCACAAGCCGGCCGATACGATTTGCATACAAATAATACGAGGCTAACCGAAGACGCCGTTAAAATTTACGTTCGAAAAAAATGCATATTTAATTATCACATATTATACTTTAATAAAGACTCGTCTGGTGGACGTCCATATTACGATTTCGTTTTTTTATTTATTAAATATTATACAAGTATAAACAAAGTCGAAACATAATAATATATTAAGCCCGCCCTGACGATTTGCCTAACCTACAACATTGCGTTAATATGAATATTAGAAAATACAAGTTATTCTCCGGTGCGTGTGTGAGCGCGAACGTAATTTACGTCGACGTCTCATAACTATATAACTTTTTTAATTTTGAACTCGTTTTTCATTTTACATATATACGATCCAATTAATTATTACGACGATACACTCACTACCGCTACCCCACAACCGCCACCCTCGAATTGAAAAACCCGGGAAAAAATCTAGTTAAAACAGAATGGTTTAAGCGATTTTTATATTTTTTGGGGGATCCAAACGATGACGATATAATAATAACTTGGGCGCCGAAACGAACTTAACAACGAAACGCGTACTCGTAATCCTATCGTCACTCACCCATTCCCCCCCCCGCCAACCCTTCGGATATACTATCGAGAATTC